TACCTGGGCGCGAGCGGGTCCGGCTGGCGGGGAAGCGGAGGCCAGCGCGGCGGCGGGCGGGCGGCGCCTCCTCCCACCGAATGTCAGCCTGGCTTCTGTAACGCTTGCGGGAAGTTTCATCATGTCCGCGCGGGCCAACCCGCGCGCGGGGCGGAGCCGGGCGGGGGCCGGGGGCGGAGGGACAGAGAGCCGGCAGCAGCGATTACCTTTCCGACTCCTCGACGTGGGAGGGTACCTGTTTAAAGATCGCCTCCGAGGTCTGGCCAGGTGCCCCATTGGTACCTACGGTTACCCCCTAATTGTTAGAATAGGGTCTTGTGCTCTTGGTTTGTACCGAGAGACATCACCAGTTTTGGTTGCAGTATCCCCTCCGCAGGAGATCTCCCCCATACCCTTAAAGTCTTATTTCCCGCTTAGTAAGAGAGCATCTGATACGTTGATGTGGATACACAAATATTTGCTAAAATAATAAATGGTGAGGCAGGTGGGAGTAGCTGGAAGGGTGGCCTTTTACTAACTACAAGATAGATTTCATTATGCTCTTCTCTGTACCTCCAGGCAGAGTTAAATATCTCCTTCCTCTGTTCACACACAGCTTAGTGTATTTTCATTTTGTGAAGTATCACCAACAAACTTGCCATGTGGTTGTCCCACTCCAACCAGACATGTATTCAATTCAATTTGATTCCTGTTGTTGTTGACATATTTCACTTTAAGGAAAGGATTGAGTTCCAGTCTGAATTTTACCACTATTTTTGTGACCACAGGTATGTCCTATAACCTCTTTAGATTTCAATCATTAAAATAAGAAAATTAGAGACTAAAGGGGATCCCTCCAGCACTCAAATTCTAAGTCCTAAAGTGATGAGAGTTCTTTAGAGGCATGGCACTCAGGGAGGGAAATTCCCTTTTTTATCTCTACAATATAAGTCTATATCGCTGAAAGTCAAAATAACCTTGCAGTATGAGTACGTTTGTGTTAGGCCTAGTTAGAAGTAAATTATCCAAATTCACACACCTGGTACTTGGTGATCTAGGATCTGAAACCAGGTTTGTCTGGATTCAAAGGCCATTCTCTTTTCATCACATTGTGCCTGTGTGTAAATGACCAGAATAGCTGAGTGTCCTGGAGGCACTGATGAAAGAGCAAGAGGCTGGCCTAACCTCGCTTGTTTTTGCTAAACATGAATAATTTTCATTTAGGATTAATTATATTTTTCTTTTCCAGATTTCATTCCTATTCTTATATTGGAACATTATCCTAAAATTTGATTTTTTTTCTTCTTTATTATCTGCACAGAGAATTTTAGAGGGGGGACTCTCCATTTTAAAGCACTGTTGAACTGGTACCAGCACTGCCCTCACTTATTAGGCAGTACAGGGAAAAGCTTGTCCTAAGGAACAGATGTTTAAGGCCTAAAATTTCTTTATAAAATCTAAATTAAGTTTATACATAAAGCCAAAATAGATCAGTGGTCCTTAAAAATTTTAAGCACAAATATTACTTTTAGAATCTCAGAAAAAGATTTTCTCAACCTGCCCCCACAAGATGATAGTGTGCTTCTAGTATTCCTTCGATAGAGAAAACACACCATGATTTTTAAAAAATAGTACTGTGACTTCATAACACTCTTAAGTAAATTTGTGTTTTACCAGTCACATTAACACCAAAATAAATTGAGGAATGGTAAAATTATACATGAAAAACCTATTAGGACCAGACTACAGTCAATGCTTAAATAGCATACAGGTTTGACATCCCCATACAATACATTCTCAACTAGTTCAAAAATTGCCAAGAATATAAAATCCCTAAGCACAGAGCATGTAGTAGACACATAGTAATTAACTGACAAGAGCAAAACGACAGATGACTAAGTTCCAAGGTCCCTTCTTGCCCAACAGTTTCCAGCATCTAACAGACCTGCTATATCCTAATGAACATAATATCTTTCAAACCTGACAGCAACACAGGAAGGTAGTTCTTCTAGCTACATTTTACAAATAAAAAAATAAGACTCAGAGAAGTTGAGGGATTTATCCAAACACACTCATCTCTACAACAGTAAAGAAATGAGTTTTAATCTGTAAAAATCCAGAGCCCATTTTCCGTACCATTCTGCCTATGCCGTGGGAGACAGGTATTTGATTCATCATCCGTCATGGTTGGTTGGGCTGAATATCTAACACTTTTCTCTCCAGAGCCACTTTCTACCCTTCTCTACCTCACTCTGTGCCCTTGCCCTTCTCTTCCAGTGAGTGTCCAAAGGGGAGACACTCCAAGGAGATGCAGAAGGTGGTTTGAAGTGTTCTCAGGGTATTGGTTTTGTGGCTCTCTCACCTCTCAGCTCCTGAAGGCCACAGCTCCTGTCAGCTGGTCCTGTCTGTACCCCCTTCTCTTCAGACTCTAGGAACTGCTCCCTTCTCTTTCCTTCCAGATCTAGCCCTAGGTTATTGAGCCATCTTGCTTTTCCTGAACCCTAACCACACTTCTGTAATTAGTCCCAACTAGAGCGTGCCATCTACTTCCTATCAGAACCCTACACCATACATTAGTCTAACATATAATAACTGAGGATGTGATGGGTTTAACTAGAGTGGGAAAAGATTCACATCCTCTCTCATTTAGTAGGCACAAATGAAAACTGAATTATGTTGGCCTATTTTCCCACATTTCACCCCATCTCCACATTGAACCCTCACCACAAAAGCACTCTCAGAGCATTTAAAATCCTTTGACCTGAGTCACTGAGGAATCAGAATAAAATCCTCTCTGTCAAGTAAAACTTTTAGGCTAGTTCCCCATCCCCAAAACTAAATCAATAACACAAGATTATAGTTGTTCAGCCCTGAAATAATTAATTAAGATGTGCTCTTTAAAGTTCTTTTAAATATCAACTAGGTTGGTTCTTCTCAATAGTTTTTCTGGAGGTGGATCCATTTTCTAAAATTAAAAATATATATAGTAATTAAACAGACAACCACATAATGGTAGCTATCCTTTGGTATTCACTGACTTTAAAAATGTGCATAATAATAAAAAGGTTCATTGAGGTTAATAACACCTTAAAGTTGCATTTTATTCAATGCAATCTACCTTTGTAAAATTGGTATTTGTTGATGAGCAGGACATATTTAGTAAGTATATAGAAAATGCTATAAAAGCATTCAGATTTGCCACCCCCTATGGCTCATGTTAGATAACACTGAATCAGAATTCCAACCAGTTTGCAAGCCCACGTACCTTACCCCACCGCCCAAAATAGAAAATGCTTTCAGAGCAGGGCACATGGTTAGCACTTTCCTAAACACTAGGTAGATTATCAGTCAGCAGTCCCAGTAACCAGAGCCCTTGCCTTGAGCCCTACGCTCGAGCTTTCCTCTGACCTTAGAATTTGCTCAGTCAGAGAGGAATTCAGATGCTGCCTGCACAGGTGAGCTCTCCAGGTACAGGATGGAGCTGGAGTGGGACAAAAACCGAGCTGGAGCTTCCATTTGAATTCTTACCCCAGCCTGCAAATGTTAGGTGCTGGCCTTAGCAGCCTTTGGTTCTATTTCTCTGCTGTTCAATTTTATATTTATAACTCTTTCATCAGTCTTTGAAATGCATTTTGAAATAGGACCTCTTATCTTTACATCTATACCCCCTACTTCTCTTCCAATTTCATAGAAATTCTCCCTGATGCCCACATTTAAATCAGCAGGTTAAACAATATAGAAAATTCAGGAAATTCCAAATTCCAGGAAGATTATCATGAAGCTATGTGCTTTGTCACTTAGCCTTGGTAAAACAAAATGTGAAATATTAACATGGATTGTGTACCTCTTCATTTTGTAAAACTACATGTTTCATAGAACTTGGAACTACTACTCTTCCAACAAAACATTTGTTTTGCCACAAATGAAAGAAGACCAGTGATTTAGACTGTGGTTAAAGAAGGAATAAGAAAACACGGATAAAGCTGGAAAAAAAAAAAGGAGAAAGAAAATCTCTGATCCTCTGATGTAAATGATTAAAAACTTATTGGGAAGAATCACTAATTAGAATCAGAATAATTACTGCTTATAAAAAACAACTAAGATGATTCTGAGTAGACCTCACAGAGCAGATGATATCTGAGCAGAGACTGGTATTTAGGATAATAACATTAGCTGCCATTTATTGAGTAAATGTGTTTTGTATGAATTATTTCTACTCTTCATATCAACTATGGAAAACAATAATTATTCTTCACTTTTGACAATTAAAGAAGTGGTAAATGGTTCAAAAGATAAATGAACATGCCAAGACCAAGCAGCTACTAAGTGGCTGAGCCAAGGGCTTCAAACCCAATGTGGTAACTCAAGAGAATCAGTATCTCCCCAGGAAGTTGCTAAGCAGACAGACCAGGTAGATTAGAGCCCTTCCAAGAAATGGTAGTGAGACGTAAAAGGTCCCAGTGTGTCCCTGAAGATAGCTGGAGCCAGGACCAAGACCGAGTGGAAAAAGCCAATGAAGAGGAAGAGATTGCCTCTTAGGAGAGCATGAGGGAGGGTTGAGAGGGAAACTATAGGAAATGGCAAGAATGCAATGCATTTGGAGAGAAAACACTATTATACTTTAGGACAGGAGAGGAGGTGAGGAATGGTGGTGCTGTAGGTAAGCCTAGAGGAAGAGGAAAGGGAAGCAGAGAGAAAATAAAATACAGAAGTCTATTAATGACAATAAATAAGTGCTATGGAGAAAAACAGCAGAGAGAGGAGAAAACAAACGGGAGGGGGGTTACAACTTTTAGAAGAATTTATAGTTATAGGCCTCTGTTTTCCATAAGAAATAGTAAGCACCTCATCTGCAGGTACTGAAGGGTTCGGCATGTTGTGAGGGTGTGTGGGGAAAATAGGATAATTTAGTCAGGCTCCCTCGGCTCAGGTCTGGTTGGGGGTTATGCAGCACATTCCTTTGTAAACAAGTTGTGTGTGGGTAGAGTTAGTGCACATGTGCACCTACATATCTTTTTAGTTAATGGCTTTTGTCTGTTCTTCAGTTTGTGAAGCAGGCTGGCTGGCAGAGCTCACATCTAAAAATAGAGCATGTTTTCTCTGCTGGCAGCTGCTCAGTTTTTCTTTGGACTTTGCCGGTAGCAGTTGAGTTTCTGAGTTTCTCTTTGGACTGCTTAGGTATTAGATGTGTGTGTGCTGAATAAAGACTATTCCTTCTTCAACCAAGGCTCCAAGGACTCTTTTTTCCGGTTACCTAGCTCATAGACTTGCGTGTGAAGGGTTTGTGAACAGGCTTAAG